TTACTTTCTCTGTCATGTAGACGTTGCACTACGAACTGAAGGGCTTTGTTCGGATGCATGCAAAGTTGAAGTCACGTGCGTTTGTTGCATGTCTGTTTCAGATGCAAGGCCTAGAAGTGCCAGTGTTGACCTGTTAAAACAAAATGTGTTGGCATAATTCAGAGTAAGAATTCATTGGGAATAATTCTTCGACTATTTAGCAGTGATGATCTCATTTTCACATCCCATGCACCAATTGATATAATACCTAGGAAGAGAGGCCTTAACATCAGATTGATTGACATAAGCAGTGAGTCGAGCACGAAGATTCGGATATTTGTTCAGAGCACCTTCAAGCTGGGGTGTGGGCAACTACAAGAAAGAAATACGGAGAACTGAAATAAACATAGGAACTGAAACAAACACACACACACACACACACTCCAAAAGAAAATGATGATGTTTACCTGCAACAACACAGGGATGGAACGTGGTTGCGTTTGGGAGATACATTTCAAGAAGCCAACCCATAGTTGTGGCACTCTCCATACCTGTGGGGGCCCCATTATTATATTATGTAAAAGCTGAGTTGTCTTTTTTACATTCTACTAACCACCAATACACGTCCAATCAGATCATCAAGAGGCTGAAAATTTCATAGGAAAATTATTATTTGAGCTCTCTACACGACATACCTGTCTGTTCACGAGTTTGGACAAAATTTCCATGACAAAATCAACCTGCAACAAACTAGAATTTAGAAACCAAAACACAATGACACTGATTGAAAAACAAAATAAGACATCTGCTCAACTGTGAAAAAAAAAAATAAAAAAAAAAAAAAATGGAAAGAATTGATGTGGCCGACATAATGTTAAAATATTTATCCTCACAAGAACCATATTACCGATACATAACGGTGTAACAGACACATGGGAACCATATGTGTACCAAAAAGTACTTGTATCAAAATTTAGAGCAGATGGAATATTCTGTTATCTTAAGCAATCAATCTTATGATTTACTGTGAATAACTAGTGGATATCAGTTTTGATTTCCTTTCGACCCTCATCAAGATAACTGTAATTAATATTTAATTTGGGCAAGTAGAACATTAGGAAAAATGTTATCAGTAAGACAGGTTGCAGTGAATTGGCACAAATAACAAGGATTGTAGGTAAGTTAAAACCTAACACTTCTTTCACAAATGGTGTATACATGTCACAGATCCTAATAACCCAAGCATACGTTTTCATGAATTGGCGTAAATTGTCTACTTACTGCCAATTATTGCACACCATGACTCATTTCATGAAGTAAAATTAAATAATATCAGCGTTATAAATAACACAAGCCCTGTTTACCAGAGTCGGAAAGGCATCAATAGCTTGGATTACGGTTCTCATGAAGAGCATTGGAATTGGAGTCCGATCAACCTGAAAACAAGCACAGTCAATACAATGCCAATAGAAAATCTTCAGTAATGCAACAAAGCTTATAAATACCATTTGGTCTAATGCCTTTGCCAGGACTTGTTGCGTGAAAACCGTGCGCTGCTCGAAACATGCAGAACAAGCCTCCGTGATCTGAAAATCAATTAAATCAAATTTATTAGACAAAACCTAAAAACAAACAGAAGGAAAACAAAAGAAAGGAAAAAAAGAAAGAAAAAACATAGATCATTATGCAAGTTCGGATCCGTTGAGTTGATAAAATCTTTAAAAAGAGATCCCATAAAATAGTTGACCGAAGGACGACAAATTCCTATGTTCAAGAATGATGACAATGTGAAGTTAAATTTACCACGCCACTAATCAACACTTGATGATTGCATATCGTGCATTTTAGTAAAGGTATATCACCAAATGCCCAAGTGATTGATCGGGACAGACACCATATTATGTAAACATGAAACAGAATTCCTTCAAAACCATCAAGGACTCTAAATGTTGATAGGTAGATAGATAACAACCTTTTTTATTGGAAGGCCATCTTTGTCGGGTGATATATCATGAATAGCTACCAACACTTCAGCAGGTGTTAATGCAGGACCTGTATGAGCAGAACCCTGGAGAAAGGTAAATATTGTCATCTCGACTTGCATATTATAATATGAAGCTGACAAAAAGCCAGTAAGGAGATATCACTAAAAATCATATAATACATATTGGACCAAACATTGCATACAAGATGACCCATTGATAACTGACTACTTCACTACGAAGTATCAAATCATGTCCCTAGGATCTCCAATTTCCAGAATATCTATTTTGGGTTCTTAGTGATGTTTGATGTCTGCTTCTCATCAAAAATGATCCACTACGTTTTCCATAATTTATATTCTTTATCATATTTGATCGTCTGTTACTTTAGGACGCAAAATTGCTATAAGGAATCAGGAGTCTCGATATCTGCTTCAATGAAAATCATCACTATCACTTTACAAGGTCTTAAGCTATATTTCTACTGATCCTGGTAAGAGGTTGGATATAAAGATCTGGGAAACTTAAATCCAAATGCACTTAGTAAAGGCCCAACGACAAAAGGCACCTCGGAAAAGGGAAAGCCTAATTATATTCTAAAATCAAAGTAATTTTCTGTAAAGTTTAATTAAACCTGTAATATATGAGCTAGTGCCGTCTGAAACTTCTGCAGTGGAAGCTGGACAAGCTGAGGGAAAATAGGCAGCACCTACAAAATATCAACAAAAAACAAGGTCAAAATAAGCGCGATAATATTTAAACAAAAGCAAAATGAAGTAAGATTAGTAGTATATGTGAATATTAATACTTTTAGTATAAGATCCACCTTTTTTTCTTGCTCTTACAACCCCAGAAAAAAAAGGCAGAGAAAAGAGAAAAAGAAAATGATAATGCTCGGATTTGTCTTAAGGATTAATAAAACTGTCATATCTTTTTATTTTCAGGCCCAATATCCATTTTCTCTTTGGTAAATAATGCAGATTAATAAAGCTGTCATATCTTTCGATTTTTCAGGCTCAATATTCAGTTACTCTCTTTGGTAACTAATGCATGTATAAAGACTCGAAAGGAAAATATATATATATATATATATATATATATATATATATATATATATCAGCAGTTTCTGTTATCTACGATTCAATCCGCAATCAATTTTGTCTGCAAGATACTACTTTCAAGCATAATTTATTTGTGTAAATACATTTGAAACAATTGACAGAGCATCAGAATAATAAATAACTCCAGATGACCAATAACGGGATCAGAAAACTGGAGATGCATGAGCACCTCATCTTTTGAAAAAGCTGACAGAATAGGTATAAGAATGGCAGCATCCTGCAAGAGAAAAAAAGTTCAGTGAAAATTAACTTTTAAGTTAAGAGTCAGAACATGACATTTAGATACCAATGGAGAACCTTTAGTTTGGTCTCATACAACTGCTTGACAGTCATCACCAGATCTGGAGGAGGTGTTTGTCCTTCACACAACAACTCAATAGCCTTCAGGTACAAACCAGAGAATGTCAAACGGAGTGTATCAAGAAGAAAATAAATAAGATGTCTGTAACACTTTGAGAAGACTTGGAAAAGTAACCTGTATCAATAAATCTTCACTTCCATTGGGTGGATTAGATATTATAAAAAGCAATTCAGAATATGATGACCCAAGAGCCCTCACAAGAACAGCCATATGACGATGCACGGCCTACAGATAGGAAGTTTAGAGCGCTTCTTAAAGCATGTCAACTAAATAGATAGCTATAAGAAATTAGACATAATGAAGGTCCATTCACCACAGGTCCACAACCCCTAGCAAGCAAAACCAATAATAGAATCCTTCAGATGTAAAAGTTTTGGAAACTAGAATTACGTGAACATCAAACAAGCCAAAACCATGAAGGCTATATAGTTCGGTCTTACCATTGTGAATTTGGTGGAGTTGCAATCACAAACACTAATGACAAGACAGAGAATCAGCTTTAAGGTGTCCACAAAATGCTATCAGTTTTTAACGAGTGTACAACCTTAATTTAATTGTCACTTAACAAATTATCTGGAAACTAAAATAGAATGAAGTTATGGCATTTGGTAAAACTGCACATAATTTCCCCTTCATAAAGTACCAAATAACAAGGAACAGAGGCATATACTTTGATCAGGAAAAATCACGTCTTCAAATTGCCAAAACATGATACAAAGTAAGATCGTGTAAGATGTTGGCCATACAGAAGAAACATAAAAAATGATCGTGTAAGATGTTGGCCATACAGAAGAAACATAAAAAGTGCTGAGCAAACATGATTTTCCTAGTGCATCTTCTCTACTACAATATAGACTCCTTGACTTTCAGAACCACAAATGCTTTAATGATATGCCTGGCAATGCAATCACAATGTACATTGTAGAAAAGTTACATCAGAGTTGATACTAAAAAGTAGTTTTATCAGTAAACCTAAGGTACAAGTTCTAAAAGATGTACAGTTACATTGCTAAACATATGATAGAGATACCTGCTTAACAGCCCTTGAAGCACGTGCATAGGAGTCAAAAACAAGATGTAGCAGAGTCGGTTTCTACATAGAAATAAAACCAACAACAGTAAGAAAAAACTTATTAACTAAAAGGGCATATATAACACCTCCGTCTGTCAAAGGGAAATATCAATCTTACCTTTGTGCATAGTGCAAAAAACAAGGATATGAGGCTTTGGGCTTGAGAGAAAATATTTGATGAATCAGTCACAGATGCATTCGGGTAACCCCTAGCAGAGTCATTATCTGAAATTCCAGTCTCTGAAACTTGAGAACCACTTATAGATGTTTCTGCATTTTGTACCTAAACATAGAACAGGCAGTAGTTGGGAGGACTAATATAATAGCAGTACTAAATAAAAATTAATATATTGAAACCAGAAAGAAATCATTGACACCAACCTCTCCAATTCTTTTTTCAGATTCTACAGATGAAGAAAATGCATCTGTAAAACGTAGATCAACAGCTGACAAGAACATGTCCGTTGCATATTGCTCAATCTTCTCAGAAATGTCATCGATCACATATAGTTTATTTGAAACCTGAATATGGCACAGAGGAAAAAGTAACCATAGACATTAGGGTAGATGCAAAAAGTTCAGTCTATAGCTTCATATAGATTACAAGGGCAGAAGAAAAGAGTTGAAAATCCTCTTACAAGGCGTATAGCTTTTGCTCTAACGTCATCCTCCTGGTTAATAGTACACTGCAATATACAGAAGAGGACATTAATTTGGCACAGTTGCAGCATATTCAAAATTGTCAACGGAGAAATTCTTTTAATCTGCAGTTTGCAATAAATAAGATAGATGGATTATAATCCACCAAAGTTCATTTTCATTCGTCTCAAGCTATTAGGGTAAGCTAGGCATGGATAGAGACAATCGTCACAACAAAGCTACAACCTAGTAAATTAAAACAGCTAATGGAAAGAAGAAAAAATAAAAAATCAGGCGATCCAAAAGTACATCAGATTGCTGTCTCCACGCCAGAACTTTTGCCTCATTAATGATGGGTTTACATATATACTTAATCACTTAATACATAGGCCATTATTTCCTTCATAGTCATCTCCTGACTGTTCAAAGTTTCTGTTTAATTAGATCAAAATATCAGAACTAAGCTCAAATAGGATGAGTACAATAAGATGGCTATTTCCCTCTGATATCACTGTTATTGCGTAATGTTCAATCTTCTAGTAATCCTATATCAGATTCAAAACCCCTAAAATAGTGCTCGTTTCAACATATGCCTCAGGACTACTCAAATTGACAGAGACTGGCATATATCATATTCACATTTTGTTTCAAGTTGAATAAGTTCTTAAAACTCAAACATATCAGATTTTCATTAAATAATCAAGCATGATAATCTGGAAGGGAAAACATGTATATATCAGATAAATGTAGTGGGATCAAATGGCACAGAAAAACATTAATTACTAGACCCTTCATCAGATGAACTAGCACAACAGTTTGGAATGAAGAATCTGAATACATCAGATAAGTGTAATGGACCAATGCAGCAGAAAAGTAATAATTATTATGACCTAACATGCACGTCCAATAATAAACTACACAGCTATGGGGTCATACTGATTTAAATTAACAAGTGATAAAGGGTACTACAAGAAGTCACTTCTCATATTAATCTCATGCTGAAATCACCTTCAAAGCTATATCTAAACACGGTTGACGATACAGTGGTCGCCCTAGAATCAAGCTCCACACAGCACCAAGGCCCTGAGTGACACGATCACCATCTCGAGAATCTTTTCCAGAATGCCTTCTGGTACATATATCGTGCAGCAGCCCCAACACGCAATCAGGTATACAAGGAACTTCACCAAGAAGTCGACTAAAAGACTTGTCAGAAGCTGGTAAATCGCTTAGCAAGGATTTTGCCTGAAATCGAATGCAAGGATTAATAATTTTGAGGCTGCAGCACTAAAAGCGATTAAGAAGTCTCATACCACTCTCAGAAGGAATTCCTCATATACAGCGGCAGCAGATGACACAGAATCTGAGATCACAAGACTATGGAGATGGTAAAGGATATGCAAAATAAGCTCGTGCCCCTGAAAATAACAACAAAAAAGACTAACGAGTAAGGTTACAAACATACACGAGGAAGACTAGAAAGACTGACCACTTTCTTCATTTTGAGAAAGGCACACTACCACAGAAGCCAGTTATTAACTCAAATCTCAGTCTAATTTGTGTGAAATGCTAGGAGAAATACTACAAACTTGAAAGAATACCATTAGCAAAATAGTATGCAGAGCCAGAAAGTGAGTGGATTCATTAAAAATGAATGAAAAATTTTGTATTGCTCGAGATATTAATTTAGCAAAATATATTCAATATATATATATATATAAAAAAAA